TTAAGTAGTAATTGATTTATTATTGGTATTTCTAGGCCTTTATCCACTCTCAGTACAACTTTGAAAACAATGTATTGTCCATTCAAATATTTATCTAAGGAAGGGCATGGAGAGAAATTTTAAAATAGGCCCTCTAACAATGGAAAACACTGTTAGATGGGAGAGATGATGCTAATACAGCTATACCGGGGCACCAGTGACACGTGGGCTAGACCCTCTGGCCATATTTCTCAATGGAGAGTAAAAGGAGATCTGGATTCAATCTGGTTCTGTCTGTATTTTATGCCTGTGAGCATCATGGCCCCAGTTTTCTCTTCTTCGGAATAAGGATTAGTGTTTCTTTGTATCTCATGCAGTGAGTGTTTATACACTCTATAGATTCACAGCCAACCAATCAGTTGCCATCGAGTTGATTCCAATTCATGGTGACTCTGTGTGTCTCAGGGTAGAACTGCACTTCATAGGGTTTCATGACTAAGACCCTTCAGAAGCAGATTTCCAGAACTTCCTTTTGAGGTGCCTCTGGATTGGTTAGTAACTGATGGCTTAGCCATTTGTGCCAGGCTGGCCAGCCACATCATAGGAACACACCCCATATTTTTCTGAGCCTACCAGATTTTTCCCTTGGTTCTAGTCATGCATTTACACTTTCTGCCACGACCTCTCTTTCCAGTAGCCTACATATTGCCATATCAGTCAGTTAGTCTGATACTGTTCCCAGCTAGAATGCTTCATTACTTCCTCCTCTTAAGTTCTGAGCATTGTAATTATTACACATTGCCTGTGATTAAAGCTAAGGAAGGGGGGTTTGGTCTAGCACTTTGCAGTAGTGGGAGGTGATTTTTTGGGGCCAGGGAGTCATTCAATCAGTATTTCTCTCTCCTCCTTTCATTGCTTAAAGTTTGTGGAGAACTGACTCTGTCCAAAGCTCTGTGGTAGATGCTAGGGATTCAGAATGAGTAAGAAGTTCCCCTTGCCTGCAAGGCAGTTATAATGTGTTGAAGGAGTATGACATTGAGAAAGACAATTCCTCAACAGTGTGATATATGTTATATAGAAGTATGTCTTAGGATATTCCTAAGGTTCTACCTTAGCACTAAAAGTCTATGAAACTACCACTAACACATCTAACAGGTGTAGCTTCATCATTTCAGAAATGACAGAAATTTTAAAGCTTGTCATTGTCAAGCATAGGTGAGAATTGGTGCAGGAGGCATTCTTATAAACTTCTGTTGGGAGAATACATTAGTACAAACACCTAAGTGAGAGCCTTGGCAATAAATAGTAAAGTGAAAAAAATTGTGCCTCTCATACAGCCCAGCATTTCCACTTCTAGGTATATATATTAGAGAATCTCTTGTACATTTCCCAAGTTCTGGATGTCAGAATGGTCCAGAGCTCATCCTCAGACCTCTGCTCCATCTATCCTCACTCTTTAGGTGAGCTTATCCAGGCCTGTAGCTTTACGTTTTTTCTATATGCACATGACTTTCAAGTTAAACTCTCCACTCCTAACCTTTGACTTGAACTTCAGACCTATCCTGTTGTTGTCTTGTGCCATTGAGGTGATTCTGACTCACGACAACCCCATATGTTACAGGGTAGAACCACTCCATAAGGTTTTCTTGGCTGTAATCTTTATGGAAACAGATTGCCAAGCTGTTTCTTCTGTAGTGCTCCTGGGTGGGTCTGAATCACCAAACTTTCATTTACTAGCTGAGAGCAAACCAGTGATGCCACCCAGGGTCCTTAGACCTATAGTAGAACTCTCCATCTGGACATGTAATGGGCATTTCAAATACATACCTATAGCACAGGAGTCCCTGGATGACACAAACAGTTAAGCATTTGACTACCGGCCACAAAATCGGTGGTTTAAACTCACCCAGAAGCTCCTTAGAAGACAGTCCTGGTGATCTACATTTGAAACATCAATCTTGAAAACCCTATGGAGGCATTCTACCCTGCACACGTGGGATCTCTACGAGTCAGATCTGACTTAGTGGCAGCTAACACAACAACTATAACATGTTCTGATTCTCCCCACCTCTGGCCTGTTACTTTCCCAGCCTAGAAAATAGCACCATTATCCATCCAGTTTTTTATTCCAAGATTTCAACTCTTAGAATACTCTTGACTTCTTTAATTCTTTTGCATCACATCTGTTCCATCATCAAAACCTTAAAGTTCTATCCTCAGAATAAATCCTGAATAAATCACTTCTTATCATCTCACTTTTACCAGACTGTCCAAGCCTGCATCATCTCTGCCTAGGCACACCACTGACCTCTAACTAGTCTTTTCTACTCATTGCCCAGTGATATATGCTCGACATAGCAGCCAGAACAAGCCTTTTAAAATTAACCCACCCAGTTAAATCCATTCAATGTTATCCCACCCTTCAGAACCCTCCAAAGATAGCCATTGGCTGGCTGTCTCTTCATCCTCATTTCCCACGACCATTCCCCTTGGTTATTCACTCATCTTACTGTCCTTGAATATACTTGGCACACACTCACCTGCCTCATACTCTGCACTTGCTCTTCCTTCTGCCTGGGATGTGGTTCCCCAGGTATGCATGTGGCTTGCCCCCTATGCATGAATGTGACCTCCTCAAAAGGGTTTCACTGGCCACCATATCTAAAACAGCATCCTGAGTATCCATCTACAGTTTCCTCCCCTGCCTCCTTTTTCTTCTATCACTTATTTCACATTTTATTAAATTACATTTATTTGTTAATTTATTAGTTTCTTTTTCCCATAATAATATTTTATGAAAATATGGCTTTTTTTTTTCTTCCACTGCTGTATCTATCCCAGTGACTCAAAAAATACTTGTTGTTAGAATGAATAAATGTGCCCAAGGAGATAGGAACACAAATTTTATTGCAGTAATTTTTGTTATAATTTAAAACGACCTCACTCACTCACTGCCATCAAATCGGATCCAACTCATAGTGACACCTCCTTGGGTTTCCGAGGTGGTATCTCTATGGAAGTAGATTGCCCAATCTTCCTTCCAAGGAGTGGCTGGTGGGTTTGAACTGCCAGCCTTCTGGTTACCAGTCAAATGCCTTAGGCACTATGCCACCAGAGCTCCTTTAAAATGACCTAAATATCCATAAACAGAATAATTGATAATAAATTATGGTATATTCATATGTAAACTATTATATAGTCAGTGAAAAATAAATGAACAAGAGCAATGCGTGTCAACTGGATAAAGTGCAAGAGAATTTAGAACAAAGATTGCAAGGTACAAGTGAACATAGTGGGATAACTTTCACATAAATTTTGAAATATTGTAAACAATCCATCTGTTGTGTGGATAAATGCATATATCATAAAGTTGGGAATGTAGTATAATTGGAAATATTAAACTTAAAAGGAAGGTAATCATGTCTATGTGGCTGAATATGGAAATGAATGGAATAGAGGTGAGGTACACAGAGCATTTCATTTGTGTCTATAATTATGTAATCCTTTAAAAATGTAAAGGAAATATAGCAAAATGTTAAGATCTGACAGAGATATGGTGCTGGCTGATACCTATCTGTTTATTATACTAACTAAACTTTTCTGTAAGCTTGAAATTAATTGGTTATTTGAAAAATAGTTAAATGAAAACAAAAGGCTGAAACTATTGATGGTTAACAGAGTAGAAGAAGGTATAGAAATACTAATGGTCTCTCCCATAGTTATGACATGGGCCCTCCCCTGCCCCATGTCAGAAAAGTGTGAATGAAATGGGTCAGGTTTTACTTACCACTGTACACTTTTATCTCCAGTTCCATACCTACTTTATAAATAAAATAGGAAAAGTAAATTCTTTAAATTTAGAGAGGCCACCATTTCCAAGATCTCTTTTCAAATTGGATGAAGATAATAATGCTTTACAATAGTGTGTTTTCCTTGTTTTAAAGAACACCTCTCATATATATTCTTATTTACCAATCATGGCAATTCTGAAAAGAAGGAAGGTGACCTCAGTATTTTTTCCCATTTGACAGAAGAAACAGCTAAGTACTACGATGGATAAGTGAGTAAGTGGCAGAGGCAGAACTAAATAAAAGTCCCCTTGACCTCTGGTAACTGCAGTACCTAGCATCAGAGGGTCCCCAAAAGGTGAAGTACTCCTAAACTTAGGGAGCTGAGTACCCCCAACATCATGAATATGAAAGCATAATACCACGGATTTGTATTACTTAAAATGTACAACTCTATTCTTTTACTTAGCAACCTCATTTCTGTAAGATGGCAGTTTGGGAAAAGAGATTATGAAGTTTTTACTCTACTATTTAAGCTGTCTTGAGATCATGCAAAACATGAGATTATTATCTTCAGAATGACAAATTCTACCAGGATATTCTTTTTCCCTCTAGGCCTCATATCAAGTGATGGATTTTGCAGATATCTGATGTCAGATGAAAATGCCCCAGTCTTCCTAGATCGCTTAGAACTTTATCAAGAAATGGACCACCCTTTGGCTCACTACTTCATCAGTTCTTCCCATAACACCTATCTTACTGGCCGACAGTTTGGTGGAAAGTCTTCAGTAGAAATGTACAAACAGGTTCTCCTGGCTGGCTGCAGGTTAGAAACTCAAGATGGCGGTTTGTTTTTTGTGCATAATTCCCTTTGGTTTATTTCATTTTTCTCTGAAAAAGGTTGTTGTTTGTTGTTAGCTGCTGTCAAGTCAGCCCTCAGTTCGTGGCAACACCATAGTAACTACCCAGTCTTGCATCATGTCCATGATTGGTTGCAGATGGGATTACTGTAATCCAAAGCATTTTCACTGGCTGATTTTCAGAAGTAGTAGGCTTTTCTTCCTACTTTGTCTTAGTTTGGAAGCTCTGCTTAAACCTATTTATTCACCATCGTAGCGACACATTAAGTCTCCATTGACAGATGGGTGGTGACTGCGTGTGAGGCACGTTGTCTAAGACTCAAACCCAGTTCTCAGGCATGGAAGATAGGAATTCTACCTCTGACCCATCACTGCCCCCCTCTGTGGAAGAATAGATAGTAATCAGAGTAAAGAAGACATCTTTAATGGATTATGATTATCCTTTAGCCTTGACAAGGTAAGACAATTATTTATTCCAGAATGGGCCTCCTGTGGATCGAGTGATAGTTCTACATAAATTGAAAATATGGTGCAAAAATTGAGGGGAAAAAAAGAAAATATTCAGATTTTAAGAAGATAGGTATCAATTTTCTATTACTCAAACGCAACCAGAGGTTTTACTACCAATTTAGTTTACTTCATATTAAAATCTTTAAAGCTTAGATATCTAAAAAGAAAAATTATTCAAAATGATTTTTCTCTTACAGAAACT